AAGAGAAACAAAGCTTACCAAGTTCCTGATGACACTTGCAATGTAAGTACTGTAACAATGGTTATAGTGCGCCTTCACGTGAGAGACCAGCAATTCAAATGTCCGTACAGCGTGACCATGCGGTAAACGAAACAACTTGAGCTGTAGAAAGATCAAATAACGTAAATACTCGAATGAGCTTATACCTTTTTTGAAAGCCTTCGTCCCTAATTCACCCCTAATCACAACCCCTCCTAAAGGATTCTAGTTCATCGCACTGGTTACAGCACTTCCTCGCAATTTTCGGATTCAATTTACACCATGGGGTGAAAGGAGGCAGACTAAGTGCCTCTTTGTTACAACCTGAAAACGAATAGACTTGCAAAAAGCTGAGAATTGTGATTTCATTCCTATGGGATTCAGTTGCAATCACTCAAAGATAATAACTTAGTGTTTTACCTTAAACACTTCGACCAGTCCGCTGACCGCTGTCTTCACATCCTTTAGTTCTTTTTCCTCTTGCAGCATCTGCACATGAGTAAAAACGCAACGATTACATTCAATGAAGTTTACCATAAACCCTCTTTCACATGTGGTCCTTATTATTGCAAGTACAGTTGCTTTTCATCTTTTCAACGGTACGAATAGGCTCACGCCCACAACCTAAAAGTACTCATTTACTGATTGGAGCACTTTTCCATTGAATCTCGCAAAGTCATTACAATGGCTGGGAGGAGTCATTGTAACAGCAATAAATGAAAATGCTCCGGAAAACGTGAGTGAACGGATCAAATTACCTCGCAAAAGACTGATCACAAGGTGGGGCGAGTTTTTAACCAAGTAACAGAACAGATTGAAGAAAGAGCTTAGTTTGTACCCCATCGGTTCTTACCTGTTCCTGCTGTTCTAGTGGAGGACTCTTTCCTTGCAGCTCCACGTGCCTACTGATGACCTGCAATGACAACAACATTAAATAATCTCATCATACTTCTGGTCCTTAATGTTCAAAAATTCAAAGGGTGAAGCGCAGTTCAATTGGGCATCGTGAAAGTACAATCAATGCCAATGACCAATCAGAAAAAGGAAGACATCCCAAGAAGCCCATGAAAACTCAGTAAGCCTGAACAATAAAAAAATGCTTGATCTACAGGAAAACCCAGTTGGCAAAGTCACGAAGAGCAAAACCAATGCAATTATGTTTGACCCTACATTGAAAGTTTCTCAAAGTCGCATCTGGACAAAACTAACCCAGTTAAGTGCGAATCATCGATGTTAAAATTAATTCAGCCTTGGAAAGACACTTTTATCAATACAAAAGGACGCACAACAGATGTTGCCTATTTTCAGTCGGTACCTTCTCGATTATGTCCAAGAAGTCTTGACACTTCTGAGAGTCTGACATCTGACACAAGTCCAGCAATATCTGCACAGCTACATTGCGTACTGTTACATCTTGGTCTTCAGGAATGTGAATAAGGTATGGTAACACTGCATGCTCCAACAACTCTTCCTACGAAGATTGATTAGGACAAAGGAGTTATGTATGACAGACGTGAGGAATTTTCCTTTATGTTAAGTTTCCTCCTGGCTACACAGTTCTTGCAATTTGAGAAGTTGAGTCAAGGAAGCTTTTCCACGACATTTTGAAATGCAGACCCTTTCTTTACCTTACTGGTAATTCTTTGGCAACAAAAACATCTTTGCGTTCATGAAAACACAAGCGTACAAATAGAAACCATACACAGAATTGCTGAACTGAATAAAAAACCGGAAATTTGTTGAAAGTTCGAAATGGAAAATCATGATACAACCCCCTGGTTCAGTTTTGTGTGGTCTCAAAAGAAATCCTCTGAAAGGAACCTCCAGTAGGGAGTATCAATAATTCAAGGCGCTTCATGCAGCAGACGACGAGATAATCAGTTGCATTCATGGGCCGCCCGTAGCGTCAGATATGACTTGAACTACTGCACATCAACCCACCTCATACCAGTGGCCATATGATGTAAGCACCGATGAAAGGACAGTCAGCGCTTTCACTCTTACACTTGTGCGGATTTCATACCTGGAAGGAGAGAGAAACATTTTTCACTGGTATGAATGAAACTACAGGATTTGTATTTGTATTTCATTTCCTTAAGAGACGCTGTTGGGTTTGTCCCGGCCATAACCACACACGTACATCAATATTGATCAAACAATGCGAATTTTGTGCCTCCTTTTGTGTACTTTACAGCAATTTCCGTTGAGAGTCAAACGAGACTGAAGTTAAAATGATTTTCTTTTACAGAGCCCTGTCATGGGCCAAGAAAATTTGCACCAATTCTGAACCACTCAAACGTAAAAAAAAAGCCCAAGCGCGAATTACAGTCTCTCGCATTTTTCTTGACGTTGAGGCAAATTGCATGCCTCCTTTTAATCCAAAATCTTGTTCTGATCTCCAGTTGTGGTAACCTTGGTTTTATTGTTATGCGACTCACTTGGAAAGCGCTCTATAAACATGTAAATGAAGCTCAACAGCAACTTCGTTCCCAGGAGGAGAGAGTACATAACAAACGAGGTTGGCTCAAGGGAACCTCAGGAAGAAAGCGTCCATGCGACAGCCCCATTTGCATCAAGGAAAGAAACTGCACACGGTAATAACGGTACCTGAAGTATTTTTCCATAAGATCGTGAAGATTCACGAGCCATCCAACGTGAGCAGGATGCACTGACTGGGCTTTGTATGAAATCAAGATTTGAAGAGAACGATCCTGCAAGAGAAGCAAGACTAACATAAATCATAATTACCATGACAACAAATGAAAACAATATCAACAACTATAAAACAGAGAGAGATGTTTTTTTCGTCTGGTCACGAGCGTGGGACAAAGAAAAAATTCCACTTGAAAGTTTTCCTAAACAAGTGCTCTTCTCAAAAAAATTGGTCGCTATTTAGTTTAAATTCTCTAGGAGAAAGAAAGTTGTCGCTCAATTGAGGACAAAAAGAAGCAAGGAAAACTTAACCGTTTTTTTTTAGGAGAACAAGACCTTTATCGATCAAACGAGCGCCTGCTGATCACACGTTAGGACGCGCAGTATAATACTAGGGAATGACCTGAGGGGATCACTCGTGTTCTGTCACTTACAGGTAACATTCCAGCACTCTTCTCCAGCAAAGCAAAGAACCTTTCTTCAGGCCCATTAAACTTTCCACTCTCGTAGAGATCTTCTACATTGAACAACAGGATGTGAAGATTTTCAATCAGGACATTATCGGGCGGGCTAATTTCCTACAACGACAATAATTACAGAATAACCGGTTTGACTTTTTAGGAACAGAAAGCTACATAAACTTTAAAATCTCCGAAGATTTTCTTCTTAAGACACCTCAAATCTTTCGCAGAAAAGAAAATGAATCGCTTAGGAACTAGGAAGGCTAATGATGGAAAAGATTCACACAGACTTCGATTAGCGAACTTGAAAAAGTCAAACTAAGATCACAAAATTACATTAGTCAAGCTTTCAAAAGCTTGCAGGGAACAACCGCCCCCAGCAGCCCCTCCCTTTCCGTTATCAAGACCTCTTAATAAAGGTCCTTTCATACCTCGATCTCTTGTTGCAGAGCTTCAATGATATCTAACACCGCATCCCAGGCCACAACATGAAGTTCTTGACCATACTTCTTCACAAGTCTCTGTAGGGAGAGGGTCACTTCCAGGGCCACCAAGCTGAGATGGCACGACAAAGCCTGGAGATGAAAAAAAAGGGAGGTTCAGATAGCTATAACCCTTGAGTTCTGAGAAGTAATTGATAAAACTTCTCTTGGTGATTTCACCACGTTATCCTGCACAAAATTAATAAGAGCAGACAGACTTATGGGCTAATAGTTGTTATCTTCATGTAATCCCAGATTCCTTTGTCCGATTTACAAGGAAATGTATAGAGAGTCACAAGGGAGAATTTTTAATCAGATGTCAGCGGGTAAGAGGGGTAAAAGCAGCCGACTATAACCCCGGAAGCATCGCAGAAATTCACCGATGTTTAAACCGTCACTTTAGAAACAATAAATCAGAGCACTACATGAACTTATGTAATAGTGTTCCATTTTGGACGCCTGTGGCCGATATTAGACACTAGCATCTCATTTTTATACAATACTGCCCGATTTTGGACACTAAGGTCAGATTTTAGACACTAGTGTTCGATTTTAGACACCAGTGCCCGATTTTAGACACTTGCGTCCGACTTTAGTCGCCAGATCCAAAATTGAACACTAGTACTCTACTAGAGACAACAGTATCCCAACAGACGAACAACAGAAACCAGGCAGGTGACCACAAGTTTTCTTGGCGGATTTTACACCTTCTTTAAACCATCACTTATTAAACTTCAGCTCAGATTATTTATTTTGTGACGATCACTACCATGATCATATCTGCGTTTAAGTTAAACATCTAGTTTACTCGAGTGATGAAGTCATAATTTATTTCAGTTTTGAATCTAAATGGTTAACGGAATGGTGTGAATTTTTTAAGACCAATCAAAGTTTGAGGCGAGGGAAAACCAACAAAATTTCGGATGACTTTCGGTACTCAGTAGCAGATCCACAGTGTTCTTGAAAGCAGTGTAATAAGAAGAAATTCCCACCTGTAGCATAGAAGGTAAAACAGTGGAACTGGAGTACTTGAGGTTTGGCACTCGCTGTGACCCCCACAGACACATTCCAATGAAGAACACAGAGCCTCTTAACAGCATGGCGTCGCTTCTGTTGTCACTACATAGACACGGGCATAAATTATTTCTCCACATTTCAACCAGAGCACTCTGACTATTATGTTAGATAGCCCATGTGATCTGTGGCGTTCGGTTGACCTTATCATTTAATATCCAACAGATACGAAAAACTACACGGAGTGAAAGACTTTCTATTTCAAGTGACGGCAACTTGCAAAGGTTATTTATAAAATAATTCAAATAGTACGCGCGCTCTGATTGGCCATAAAACCATTTTACATGAGCGTTTGTAAACACGGTTTTCATACTGAATCTTCTCGCGGAGTTCTCCCTGCTATTTATTTAGCTGTAACTCAGTTTCTTTAAGTTTGTTTTGAGTACAGTAAAGGAAGAAGATTTTCCTAATTTTTCTTTGGAATTTAATTTTCCCAGTATTCAAGAAACGGCCGAAAAGTGAAATGAACAACAACAAGCACGTCGCTTTCCATCGTTGCAAGAAGAGGCTCTTTCATAAGTTATTTTAAAAAAGAAATGTAAAATGGTTTCCGTGTTTACATAGCCTGATGTAAACACTTGAGAGGTTGGGAGAACACTCGATAAGCTGGAAACCACGACGCGAAGCGGAGTGGTTTCCAGCTTATCTCGTGTTCCCCCAACCTCCAAAGTGTTTACATCAGGCTATGTAAACACGGAAACCATTTTACATTTCTTCAATATGAGTGACCTCTCGCTAAACCGTGCTGTAATGACTCATACCGACAATCCTCAAATTTAAGCGCCTCCCGTTGAATCAGTGAGCCTCAAAAACAGGCGTTAATTTTTTTTCATTAATGCAAGAGCGATGGGTGAGTGCAAAGGGCGATTCACGAATGAGAGGAGAAAGGAAATGGGTAAATTTTTTGTATATTTTGCGCGATTTTGATTCTGGAGTTCGATCTGAAAAATCTGTAGAAATTGAAACACATAAAATTTTCAGGTGACATCATGCATGATCAGCACGAGAATGCAATATTGTACTGAAACGTAGAGGAAATAAAATGTACAGTCGGTACTGATTTTGCTTAATCTCTACCTGTCTTCCAAAACATTACACATGGTGTACACTCCACTGTGACCCAGATGAGTTCCAAGCAAATTTCTCATTATCTGAAATATAAAGATAAGCTTAAGCTTTACAGAGAGAGAAATCTTGTTGAAAGAGGCACAACGAAAATGTTGCAAGAAACACATTTTGAGCTTCCCCAGACAACAATTGCACCCCCCACTCCTGCTGAAAAATGACTAAGATTTTGCGGTAAAATCATGATTTGCAAAGGAGAGACACAACAAGAATTGTGTGGGCGTATTATGATAACCATATAATTCAGCTAGAGTCAACTGCAGCGCAAAAAGAAAAAAATCACTGGTCAAGTGAATGAATAAAAAAAATCCTTCCTTTTTCCCTAAAAAACATTTGAGCAATAGTATTTCTCAGATATTGAAAAAGTACATGCAGCCTTTAGTTAGGTCTCTTGACAGTTCAATCACCTTCCAGCTGCGCTGACAAAACTTTTCGATGTTAACAGCCCGGCAGGCTGTGGCTATGAACTCAAACAATGTATTGGACGGCAGACAACTGTAACGGACCACAGCATCCAGCAAACACAGGCACAGCTACAGAATAAAAGTTAATAATACAAAACTAGTGTGGAAATAATTTTCACATCATAAAATTGAAGAAGGAAGGAGTTGTGTAGCTACAACTGGCATAAAGGGGGTAAGTTTATAAACATTAAATGAAATGTTGGTGCTGCATTAGTGGGGTATAACAAGATGATATGGTTTTATCAACAGAGTTGATAAATAAATGAAAGTTGGCCACTGCAAAGAGTTTCTAGAGCTTTTGTTGAGAATATTAGCCCTTCATCATGAACAAGTGGCAATTTGGTTGGGCACCATCTCAGATTTTAAAACAGGGGTCCTGATATCTCACAAGACTCAAATTTACTGTTTGCCACCCCTTGTATCAGAGCAGGGTCCTTGATATCACAGTTTAAGCTTTATAGTGCATTTGGATGATAAAAAAATTACAATAACCTCAACTTCTCCTTCCTCTTTAGTTGTTCTTGAAAGATGACAGGTTTGCCTGGCAGGAAAAAATTATAAAAATGCAAAATAAGTATCATTATAGTGTGACCATGGTTACCATATTATGGCAGACAATCATTGAATAATGCTACCTAAATTCAGTTGTGCCAATCAGTGCACAAGACCCAGGCTAGAAAAGATGACAAAGCATTTGGGAAATGGGTAGTGTGTAAGCAGGCCCTGATTAGTAGTGCTGCTAGACCTGCATTTCTTTGACCCCAGGAAGATTTGAGGTGTGTCTGGGAGATGTTTGCTGGGGTTCTGGCATCAAAAATTAGTGCTGGATCCCTGGTAGGCCTCTTGCTAGATTGCATTGCTGAAGGCCCCATACTTTCCCTGCCAGCCAAGAAACACTCATGCAAAAGTACTTACCATGAAGGCCTTCTAGAAAGGCAAGTAAATGGAGTTGTATGATGTTGTATGATTATTGCTGGACTCAAAGAAAACCAGTCTTTTAAGCTACGAGGAGATTTGCATGTATCAATGATTTGAATTATGTAAAACATATTTTTTGTTTTCTTCCTCAGTACTTGAAAGGCACATGTGCTACAATCAGATTACCTGACAATGCCAGAGATGATATCCTCATCAAGGAAACTTGAGTTGTAGTGAATTACATTGATAAGAAGAGGCATGAAAAAAATCATTCTGTGGGTATAAGCAAAAATGAAATAATATCAAGACCATTAGTTAAAAATACTATGAGATGACAAAGAAACAACTAATCAGTCCTCTAGAAACAGAAGGTTGTCACATCTTCTAGAAACATTTCAAACATCAGAAGGTAAGACCTGCTTAAAACACGAGCTACAGCTTTGACAAAGATTTTAATGACGTGCAAGTTCTTTCACTCATGGGAAATGGAGAGCTACATCTGAATATTGGTTGCACAGTGTGATAAAAATTTACAGTAGAACACACCACTAACTCAAACTGAGCTCACTCAAACCCCTCTCCCCCCAGTACCTCAAACAAGATCTGACCACCCTTGACCCACTTTCTCAGTTACATACAAACGGCTAACTCAAACCCTCTCTAATTTGAACCATTTTTTTGTATCCCTGGGGAGTTTGAGTCAGTGAGGTTCTACTGCGACAAGAGTTAATAGATGAACATTCCAAACCTGCAAATAATCTCTTTGATTTTTACTGCATTTGGCACAAACAGTAATATTAAAGTAATATTAATAATTATTAGAAGTTCTTTTCTTACAAAGAGACCTGAAGGTAAATGATAAATACTGACCTGCCTTTTTGCATCACTTCTGGCATCCAAGATAACAGAAAAGGACCTTTCCAAAATCAAGAAAGAATAATATAAAGATTTAAGAGAAGTTGTGAAATAGTTTTGGCAAATAAGACATCTGTATTACACCCAAAGAATCAACCATATTTCAAACTACATCATATACATCACACCTTCAAATATATATCATTCAATACAGGGATGTCAATAACTTTTTTTCCATAACCAGCTGCCAATGGTGTAATTAACGCTATAAACCCCGAGAGTGACCAACATCTAATTTCTCCTTACAGTAATGTGGCTGAATCATTACTTAAGACCATGAGAATAAAGGAAATGATTGTCATTGTCATTAGGGAGGCGAACATGGTCTAGTGGTTAGGGCGCTGCACTTGTAAGCCGGAGGTCCTGGGTTCAAGTCCTCCTCCCTGCCACTGGATGGATTTGTCTTCGGTGGCCCCGAATTCAACTCCTGCACGCTTTGTAAATAGCCAACTGGTCTGCCTCCTACCAGTTGGGGTTTTTAACGAGTTTCTGTTCATTTACGATATTTGTTTCCTTATTTACAGTGTCCCCAATTAGCACAGCAGTGCTAAAATGCACTGACACTTAAATAAAGTTATTATTATTATTATTATTACCCAAAGAAGCTTTAATCTTTAAACAAATTCTCATTGTCAGTGCTGAAGGAAATGTATAGAAAAGAGTAAGGAGAATAAAGATACTGATGTTAGAATGTAAAGGGTTAAGGCAGCTGTGTGGTGAGGCAAAAACCCAAACATTAGAGCCCGTTTGCAGGCTAAACAGACAGCAGTGAGAGGTGTTACAGGCCACCACTAATCAGATTTTATTGTAACCCTTCATTCATATCTGAGCCTTAACCCTTTAATTCCCTCAAGTGATTACCAAGTAACTTCTCCCTATGTTACAGCCGGAAATGGATGTGACACTGTTTATTCAATTTTCAAATGAAACATTTTAGTGACGCTTAGATGAAATGATTAAGTGTAAAAAAACCCGGAGGTGAGCACATGGTTTTGTCTCTTTTTTGTGTTCGCTTGTACAATTTTTGGATAGTCGCCTGTATGCGATTGTAAAGCTTATTAATGGAAACTAATACAGTCAAGAATTGTTCCTACTTTGGTTTTGGTGGAAATTTTTGGCAACAGGAACACCCAACAATATCTAGACATTATCCAGCAAACATGTCATGCCAAAGTTGTTATCTTGATCTGACACCAAATTCTTGTTACCAATTTACAAGTAAATATGTAGCAGCTAGAGGGGAGAATTAACAATTAGATCATGGAAGTTACAGGGTTAAAGGTGTGAGGTATGATGACAATCAGGTGATACCAAGGATTGTGAAACCAACCAGAGCAAGGTGCACAGTCTTTACAGTGACTCAAAAATTGTGCAATCACAGAAAACTTTAGACACTGTGACTAAAAGTTAAATGATTTAAATTAGTTCCTTACCAGTCCTTTCCTCAAAGTATGAAATGTCTTTCCCATTATCACTCAATGCTTGCAGTAATTCCAACCTAATAATTTCAAATTTACATGGTCAAACTTAACTACTTTTAGCTCAACACCAGTCCTAATTACACCAGGTGGGAACCACCTTATCCTTGAGCTGCAGCCATTATTGAGCCATGATAAAGGAGATCATAGTCATTAATAATAATTATAGTGCAATTCCTGATGACCTGGATAAATTTACATTCTTGACAATCTATTTTCCTCTCAACTGTTGCAAAAAAAAAAGGAAGTTGAAATACATATTACAACATTACTTTATGGTTTACCAATAATTTAGACTTTGAAAACTGGTGCTTTTATTGAGGCAATCATAAGAGCAAAAGATTGTATTTATAAAATAGCTGCACATCAAGATTATAATCATAACCATGATTTTAAATGTAAGCATTGATAGCTTAAACCTGGGTGTGATGTCCTCAGGAATCTTGTGATTAACCACAACAGAGAAGAAATGAGCCCTTAAAATACCAAGTCTGTTGAACTGCAAAAGAAGGAAAAAAACAATGATCAAGCTTAATTAATTCAGAAACTATTTCAACACTAAAAGAATTAGCTATACAGTTATGATTACACTAAACTTTAACTACCTGAAGTGATAATAAACATGTTGACTGTTCTATTTAAGATTTGCATATTTCAGAAGGGAGAAAATGATTTTTTTCCAATCCTTTTAAAACCATCCAATGGCTCTTTTTGTGTATAAGCAGTCCTGCCAATTGCAGAATCAAGAATTAATTATCCAAATTTAGAATGACGAATATGAATATAACTTACATTTATTTTCTCCTTACAATATTGCCTCTGTAGCAAACATTAAGGTCACAAGATAAAAGAAAATGATTACCAATCAAAGACTGAAGCTATTGATTGTTAAACAAATTCTCCTAGTCAGCACTTTAAGGAATGT